AAATAGAAAGGCGCACCTGTCCCAGTTAGGAAACGCGCCTACTAAATACAGGCCTCCACAATCCCAAGGTTCGGCAATAAGCTTGCACTTGGACAGCACTTCATCCTTACATATTGCCTGCAAGGATATGATGCGTTCTTATGGGGAATGAAAAAAATGAAAGCCAACCAACCCGAATAAGAGGAGGATTCGCCAATGGAGCGCCATTGGTACCCCGGCAAAGAACACTGGCAAGGTCGAATCTAAATCCATCAATATGATATTCCGTGACCCTGAAACCAGAAGCTGAACGCATTATGATTGAAACACGTCCATACCAGTGCTTGAGGCTGTCCAAAATAAACTCAGTAACGACCGGATGGTTGCAATTCAGAGTGTTTCCTACACGTAAAACACATCAGCAATGCTCCTGACAAAACAGAACAATGAAATTTACCGCATCCAGAAAAGTTCATGTAGCCATTTGCATCCATCATGTAATACACCTGCATTGAAAAAGAATTGAATGTGGAGATCGATTTTCAAACTGAGACAAATTATACCGCATTGTCTACACCTCGGAAGCATGTGACATAAGGATCTGCACAATTGCCTCCTTCGTTTGTGTGATTGTACACCACATCCAAGAGAACCTGCTCAAATCCCAAAACCAGAAACATAATGCTTGACAATTTTGTGCCTACGCACCTCAATCCCCGCTTTATGAAGCGCTTTCACCATTTGCTTTAGCTCCAGAGATGCAGCTATAGGTCCACCTCCGTTGCTGGCAAACCGACTCATCGGAGAAAAGAAGTTTATGGTTGAGTAGCCCCAAGCGTTTACCTGAATAAAGGAATGAGTCTGTACAAATCGCAAGAATTTATTCGACTAACCATGTGGTCCCGTGGGTTTGGTCTCCTTTGAAACTCAAGCTCGTCGTACTCAAATATTGGAAGAAGCTCAACTGCTGTCACGCCAAGCTCGACTAAATGCGGAATCTGTAAGCAAGAACATATAGCCTGCCAAAGTCCTAATAAAGAGAAAAAAAAACCTTGTCAATAAAGCCAAGGTAACTTCCCCGAACTCCTTCAGCAACACCAGAAGATTGGTCCTTTGTAAAACCACGCACACTCATCTCGTAGATAACCAGGTCTTTCTGCAAAGTCTTGTAAGGATGAAAAGAAAATAAAAGACCAGAAGCTCACCTCCGGGACCCTGGTGCGTGCTTCATCTCCCTCCCAGTCAAATTCAGATAGTGTAAAGTCGAAAGTTCCCCAGTGCGGAGCCAACTTCTGGGTCTTATCTGCAAAAATTCTACGTCCTTCCACATACTTCGCATACGGATCAAGCAGCAGCGTGTTTTTGTCAAATCGACTATTCTTGTCGCGAGGTCCATCAACATGATATCCATACAAGACACCACTTAGCGGGATGTTCTACAAAAAGAACAAGAAAGCATGTAAAAGGCTAGAGCTTTTTCTACAAAAACATTACCTCAAGACATATGTGCCAGACGTTTCCAGTTCTGTTCTTTTGTGGATCGAGCACAATCTCTTTAACAGGACCTTCTGTTCCCAGGCGACTGTAATTGAGAACGAAGAAAGACACCAGTAAAGCGACGAAACAAAAGCAAAGAGGCTAGCTTACACGCATAGCGTCACAGAAGTTCCATGCTCTGAAAACAACGCAAAATTGACGCCCTCTCCCAGCTTAGATGCACCGAGGGGAGTAGCCTGCCCGTTTGACACTGCGGGATCCAAGCCTGCCTGCAAAACAGGACCGCAATCAAAATGCCGCAAAACTCAGAAAGCTCCCACCTTACCGTATCCATGCTCGCAAAAATTCGTGTTCTTCTAATCTGGACAGAAACGCAACAATGTAAAGAACAAAGTTTCAATGTTGGCGAGTATCTCTTACAGCACAAATCCTATTCAATCGTCTCGACGCTGGGCACGCTCTCCAATTGGCGCGACCAAACCCCTCCTAAAACCGAAAACAAAACAAAGTTTGTTCGATGAGAAAGAGGATTGTAGCCACATTCCAGATTTTTACTCACTGGATGCGTGACAGGGTGAGGCAGGCTTGTCGTTTTAGCAACAGCCAGCCTTCGCCGCGGAAACGCAATGGAGCTGCTTCAGTATCTCGCGTGATCGTTGCAAAGAGCAAGGAAGAGATTTGACCTCATTGGCGCCGCCGCCGCGGAGTGGAGCGCCCAGAATCCACCGCGAATGCAGCTAGAATGCGATGGAAGAGAGGCGCATTGATTCATCGCTGTGGCCGCCTTTCCTTTTTCGCTCGCTAGAGCCCTAAAATCGAAAAAGGAAGAGGGGGATCTTTTTTAGGGTTTTGACGGAGAGCTTCTCGAGGTTTGTAGCGTGGAGAAGGCGGCGATGATAGGGATTGTGTAGCAGCAGCCGCCATGGGTCGAGCTTCCACTGAAGGTTTTGTAGCTCAGGCCGCGGCAACGAGGCTGGAAGAGCCCGATTTTTCCAGCTCCAAGTGGTATTTCTCCAGAGAGGAGATCGAGAAATCTTCGCCCTCGCGGAAGGATGGGATCGACGGCAAGAAGGAGGCCCAGTACAGGAGGTCGTATTGCGCTTACTTGCAGGAGCTGGGAATGAAGCTCAAGATGTAAGTTCTTTGGTTTCTTCCTTTCTCTTTTTTCCCCCATTTTTGCTATCGGGCTTTTCATTCCAGGCCACAAATCGCCATTGCAACCGCGATTGTTTTTTGTCATCGATTCTTTCTGCGACAGTCGCACGCTCGCAACGATAGATTTGTAAGTTTCATTCTCCTGTGGAGAAGAACGAGAATGGTGGTGATGGTTTTATTCGCAGATGGTTGCGACCATAGGCATGTTTCTCGCTGGCAAAGTGGAGGAAACTCCTAGACCGGCAAACGATGTTGTCTTGGTATCCTATGCGCTTCGTCACAAAAAGCCCATCACCAAAGAGGTTTACCAGCGACAACTCCGGCTGCTATTGACAGGAGAGAACCTTTTGCTGTCAACATTGGGCTTTGATTTGAATGTCTCTCACCCATACAGACCAATGGTACTGGCAGTGAGGAAGTTGGCCCCGGCTTTTCAATCTTCCATCGCACAAGTCGCTTGGAACTTTATAAATGACGGGTAATAAGTTTCTTGTCGATGCGAGTCACTAACGCTTCTATTTTTCAGGCTGAAAACCACCTTGTTCTTGCAATTCAAGCCTCATCACATTGCCGCTGGAGCCATCTTTCTCGGGGCTAAATTTCTCAAGCTAAAACTTCCGGGCGATGGTGAGAAGGCTTGGTGGCGAGAGTTTCGAGTCACTCCAAGGCAGCTAGAAGGTTGTCTGATTGCTACTTGTCTCAACGTTTAATTTCTGTCTCTTGCAGAGGTCAGCAATCAAATGCTGGAACTCTACGAGCAGGCAGGCTCCAATCCATCGCGGGCTAGTCGTCCAAGTGCCAGAGTTGATAGTCCTCCTTCTGGTCAAGTCTCTACTCAGACGGAGGTACGTGACGATGTCTCGAGAAGAGCTAGCAATTCTCCCGGTGAAGTCATATCACGCAAGGAACCCGACGTGGTTGAGCCGCAGCAGGAGAAGACACAGGTGGAAAGCATCGATGAGGCCAAGCTCAAAGCTGCTCTCAAACGCAGGAAATCCCGAGTGGAAGCGGTGGCAGCTCCGCAGAAGCAAGATGTGGTTACCGATGAAGAACTACTCGAACGAGAGCTGGAGAATGGCATTGAAGTTGCGAGGCCGAAGAAGATGGAAAACGGGGATATGCACCGAGAAACTGGTAAACAGGCAGCTTCTTTAAAAAGGGAGCGTCCCGACGAAGTAGCAGCGAAAAGGGACCGCCCGGATGAGGAAGTTGTGAGGAGGGAGGTGGCCGTTAAGAAAGAGTGTCTCGACGAGGTGGTGATAGCAAAGCCAGACGAGGTGAAAGAGCGTATCGACGAAGTTGTCACGCAGAGTGTGCGTCCGGCCGAGGTGACAGTCGAGAAAGAGCGTGTCGACGAGGTGGTGTCCCAGACGGACCATCACAACGATGTTCTAGCACAAGTTGCGGCCATGGAAGATCGTTCGGAAGAACGTTCCGACGAGATGGTAGCCAAGAGAGAGCGTCTCCACGAGGTGGTAGTGAAGATAGAGCGCTCAGATGAGGAGGTGGTAGCAGAGCGAGACCATCCAGACAAAGAAGTGGTGCCAACGAAGATCGACGAGAATGTGCCGGCGCTAGTCAAGAAGGAACTTCCGGATGGGGTGATAGAGAAGGTTGTGGCAAAGAGTGACGAGGTGGTAGTGAAGGAGGACAATTCAGACGAGGTGATGGAGAAGAAGATATCAATCAAGGAAGAGCGTCCAGAGGCCGATGTAACGGCAGCCAAAAGCGACGAGAAAAGGGAGCGTCCAGAGGAAGAAGAACCGGCAAGCAAGAGGAAGAGATTAAACGACGAAGATCTCCCTTCCAAGCCACCAGCGGCAGCGGCAGCTGCAGCAGTGAAAGTTGAAGCTCCGGACGAGGAAGAAGGCGAGCTCCCGTCATCCGGCCACGACTTTCCTCCTCCTCGATCGCCACCACGGCCTCTAAGTCGCGAGCGAAGGATGGTATCGCCTCACGAGAGGCCGAGGCCACCTGCATTCCTGCCTTTCGACACTCGATACGATCGGCGACGAGACTTTCATCAGTACGCTCGACGAGAGACATTCTTTGATCGACAGCCTCAGCCGCAGCATCACAACGCTGGATTTCGACACCATCGCGATTACTACGCTCCTCACCATCAGTTCCAGCAGCAGCAGCAGCACTACTATCAGCAGCAGCCGAGACAAATGGAGTGGCAGCACCAGCAGCAGCAGCACCATCACCACCACCATCGCCCACCGCCGCCACCGCCGCCGAGAGAGCCATGGATGGAGCGAGACGCAAAGAAAGCTCGCTATGACTCGTATGTCTCCAAATGACAAAATCTCGCAAAGCTTTTGTAAATAGCACAAAGGGTTCTTCGCTTCTTCTTGTTTGTCTTTAAACCTTTTTTGCGATTTAGGGTTTAGGGCATGGAGAAGCGCAAAGCGCAAGTGCCGCTAGTCTGCCACGGCCACTCCCGCCCGATCGTCGATCTCTTCTACAGCCCTGTCACCGCTGATGGATTCTTCCTCATCAGCGCCAGCAAAGGTAGATCTTTCTCTCGCGATCTCTTGGTTTCAATCGCGGCTGCCGCAGATGGAAAGCCAATGCTAAGAAATGGGGGCACTGGCGATTGGATTGGAACGTTCGAGGGACACAAGGGTGCTGTCTGGGCTGCCTGCCTCGACACACCCGCATTGAGAGCAGCCACCGCTTCTGCCGATTTTAGTGCGTAAGTGGCCGGATTTTCCCCCCTCTTTTCTTGTGTCTCACTCCAGATCCTCAGGAGAGTGTGGGACGCTCTGACGGGAGATGAATTGTACTCTTTCGAGCACAAGCACATCGTTCGAACGTGTGCTTTCTCCGAGGTAAATGCTGCTCTCACAGACCACTCAAAAACTCTTCTCTTTCTCTCGTTTTTTTTCTTTTTCCTTGTTCTTTTTATTACCAGAGCACGACACTCTTGCTCACAGGTGGTCAAGAGAAGATCCTTAGGATCTATGATTTGGAGAGGCCAGATGCGGCTCCAACAGAGATGGAAGGCTTGACAAGCACCATAAGATCAGCGGTATGGCACCACAGTGACCAAACCATTCTGAGCTCGTGTAACGATACTGGCAGCGTGCGGTAAGCAAGTTTCTCGGTTTCGTCTCTAGATGATGGGAAGAATTGTTTCCAGGTTGTGGGACGTGAGAACAAAAACCACAGTCCGGCAGCTCGAGACAAAGTCGCCGTGCACGAGTGTTGAGGTGAGCCGCGACGGCCGATACATCACAACCGCGGATGGCAACAGCGTCAAGTTCTGGGATGCCAATCAGTAAGCTAGTCTATCCTTCGCGTTTCATTCATTCATTCTTTCTTTCCTTCTTTTGTTGTGTCAAAAGCTTTGGCATGGTAAAATCGTTTACCATGGCTCGGCCTATGGAGTCGGCGTCGCTATACCCGGCCCTGGGGAAGTTCGTGGCTGGAGGGGATGATATGTGGGTGCGAGTGTTCGATTTCTACACCGGGGAAGAGATTGGTAAGCAAAGTGATCCTTTACTGCTCTCTCAGTCTGGAACTCTGGATTGTTTGCTCTCTCTCCAGAATGCTGCAAGGGTCACCACGGGCCGGTCCATTGCGTGCGATTCTCACCGGGCGGTGAATCGTTTGCGTCGGGCTCCGAGGACGGGACGATTCGCATATGGCAGACTGGTGAAAGCGGCGGCGGCGGTGGAGGTGGTGGTGGCGGTGGTGGCGCTGAAGAAAGCGGGAGTGCACCGCCGAAAATCACTGTCAGTGCCGAGGATGTAGCTCGCAAGGTGGAAGGCTTCCACATCGAGCTATGATCCAAAACAAATAAACGTTTAAAGAGCGTTTAGTGGAGCTTAGGTTTAGGGGGGAAATTTAAATTTTAGGGTTTTCATATAGTTCAAAATCTAAGAAAGAATGTTAGAAAGGACTAGTTCAGATCACGTAAACCAAGATTTATTTCCTGTCTTGGCCGCTGCTTTGGCGATGTAATGGACAGGACCTTGATTCCAGGCGACAGAGCCACCTCAAACCACTCGGTCGTCTCAAGAGCTTTGCAAAACCTCTGGCCTAAGATGTTAATGTTCATGAAATCTTCCTCCTTGCTCCTGTGAGTCACACCAAAAGATCGGATAAACGCAAAGAAACCCCCACCTCAAGTAGCTCACTAGACCATCGAAGCCATCCTGGCGAGCTTCACCTCCACCTCTCCCTGGCAATGAGCACAAAAAGATGGCCGTCCAAGAGAAACCAGCGGCAGCGCAGTGGAGCGAGTCGCCGTGATCTTCGTCTTCGTCTTTCTGCCCAGGAGATTCAGATCGCCTCACTCGAATGGTCATGACGTGAGAAACGCTCAAGACACAGACGCTAATCTCCTCCACCTGTGGATCACACTGCTCTTCAAAGTGCTCCACAGCCATGGCGATGACGAGCGCGACTCCCTCGCGGGTGTCCAGGTCCATAGCTAGCAGAATCCTGTGCTTGCCATCCTTGCTCATGATCCAGGGAAGCGCTGCATTCGCATCGTCGACGACGTTCTAGTAGCGGGAGAGGGTGCCTTTGAATCATCTATAATTGATATTATCACCTCGTCTATAAAGAGACCGATACATTTCCATGCTACCAGAATACCATTTCAGCAAACGAAACACTTGGTTTCCTGGGAAACAAAATCCAGAACAGCCGCAGGCATGGTGCTCCCGAAGATGCCAAACTGCCGTTGCTCAGGCATCAAACTGACCAAGAGACGCACTTCCTGAAACAAAGCATCGTGAGACTGAACTCCACAACTAGCGATCGAGCTTACCTCCAGGCCAAAAGTTTTTGAGATCTCGTCAGCATCGTCCATGCCCAGTACGGAGAGAGAGACAAGAGAATCCTTAGGAAGACGATTGCACGCCTCATAAACGTCAGGCGGAGTCCCAACAAGAACATGCCACTCTTCAGCTCCATCACTTGAGAAACAACGAACCTTGAGATTCACGTCGTTCGACCGCAATCCCAACATCTGACGCATGATCTGCAGCGCATCGTTGCGACTGGTTGCGACTACCACCGCCTGAAATGGTCCCCGACTCAAATCAACTCTCTGAAGTACAGAGACACAAAGTGCTGTGGTACAACCGCTTCCTCGTGGGCCTTGCTTAAGGACGTTTAAGCCCGCGCAGAAAGCAGCAATGGCACTTTGCTGGAGGGGAGTCGGAACCTTGTAGCCTAAGACAGAAATGCAAATCTGTTTAGATTGGAGAAAAAGAGAAGAAAATAAACGCTTACCGCAGTCCGAAATGCCTTGCAACAAGCTGGCACGAAGGCCCATTGCATCGAACGTCTTAGACTCTGTGAACTGTGCAAGACGGCAAGTGGGCGATGCTCTGTAAAATGAACTCGAGTTAGCAATCGATCAATGCTCTTGTTACTCAACTCACAGGTTGAGTAAGTTGAAAGCTTTCAAAGTCGCAACATCTGCAAGAGACTGGTCCACATGCAGGCACATCTTCTTCACTTTGACGTTCAGCTTGGTCGTGAACCTTTTAACAGCCTCGGCTCTCGAAACGGCATTAACGCCTCCAGGCAGCGTGGGAGTAAACGACTCGAACATTTTGCTAGGAACGAAGTATATGAGCTCCAGCTTCGTACCATCACCGTAGCATCGTCTGCAAAAACGAAGCCGAATCGACACTAGGAAAAAACACAAGCGACCGACTCACCTCAGGAAACTCAAGGCGTCAACAAGCCCTTCGGTGACCTCGAGCTTCTTGCCGTCTCGACGGCTTGTCACCGTTGCTTGAAGAACCCTTCGGCCTAATATAAGATCCCAGCTCCTGTTGCTCCTGGACTCGGGCCTGACGACAGTGCAGTCCAATATAAACGGTGGCAGGACCGCATTGTTTCCAACCGACTTCGGTGCAAACTCGAACCGCGCCAACGGAAGATCTTCGTTGAGAAGAGGACCCCATTTCCCTTGCTCATCCATTTCCTTGCTGCTCACAGAAATATTCCGCTCCAGCAGACAATGGAAGAAGGCATCAAACAGAGAGGCTCGCAATTTTTCTGAAGCATGTCCTCCAGCTATATTATCAATTAGTGATGGCCTCAACAGTCTGGCCACCCCTGCCGCCACAAAGTCAGATGCAAACTTGAGCGGCCAAAATTCATCATGTAGCTCGCAGCTGGTTACGTCCACGTCGTAATGGTAGACCTGGAGGTAATCTTCTTCCTTCTCTATCGAATAATTGTTGCCAGGAACATCTACGACCATTTGTCTTGCTTCCGACTTGATGGCCGAAAACAAATGGATGTCGCTGAATCTCGATCGATTTGCAAGGACGTGTCTCGGAATCCCTCCCCACAGTTTGAAGGCTTCATGCACGTCTTGGTCAGGCAGCTTGAAAACAGCCTTGTTCAGCTGCATGATCTCCTCCTTGGACCACACGGGAAGGTAGTACGTCGCCGTGACAGGATATTTGCTGAACTGGAAATGGTTCTCCTTGGCAGGAGAGCAGGTCAGAACGAAATGGCAGTGACCAGGTAACGTCCAGTGAACCATTGGGACACGCTTGTCCGCCAAATACCACACTCTCCCCCTGTGCTGCTTCACCAGCTGACGGACAGCGTCTGGGTCGCGGTTCAGGCTGACTACAGCATTTCGCTCCCCGTCTTTTGTGAAAACAAAAAAGAGACCTGAGCCTTCAGCGTACTTGAGGACAATCATACTCCACTCCGCATTACCTTGGACCAGGTGCCATAGAAGGTAGACGCAGTAGGCTGATTTACCAATCCCAGGGTTGCCAAGGACAACGACAGACTTGGCCCTCGGGGTCTTGAAAAATCCATCGATTTTGCTGCAGAGTACGTCGTAGCAATCTCGCTTGAGCAGCAAAGGCTCGCAGTCTGCGGTAACGTAGCCCCACTCATCACATAGAAACTGCGGAAGCCTCAGGAAGCTTGCACCATCGACGTCTTTCACCACCTCGAGTTGGCTTTCAGGAAACGCTTGAATTCTTTCTGGACATTGCGAAGTTCTGAAGACGCCTCCTGCTGCCAGTTGTTGCTATATGCATCTGATAGGAGAAACTTATAACATGACGATTTTGTGTCTGATTACCTGGCAGAGCGCCTGTGCTGTAGCCACATTTTGGAGGATGGGCGCTCCAATCAGCTCCCACCGGCTCATTAGCTCGTAGCCAGCACCGGAACGACGACAGTGCTACTCCCTTCGATCGGCCGCGCATCGCCATGCGCCTGACAGCCCTCCACATCTTGCAACCCTAGAGTACTCCTTTTTATTTTTCTTATTTTTCTTCTTCTTCTCTCGTTTCCAGAAAGTTTTAGTGTGCGTGTTTTGGTTGAACCAGCAAAGAAGAAGAATAGATGTGTAATTAATTCGAAGTCTTTGTGCATGTGGGGAGGTAGTTTGTATTTGCATTGTTTAAACTTTGGAAACAGTTGAAGTTATGTTTGATTGATGTAACATCTAGAGTGTGACATAGAGATGTTTGGATATTCCTTGGGAGGTGTGGGAAGACAATTTACAATAGAAGATAGTAGATATCTAAAGTAAATCTACAAGGGCAATGACAAAGAAGGGTTAAGTTGGGCTTCACCCCATTTCTAAAACATTTAACAATGTTTAAAATTTAAAGTAATTTTAGTCAATAGTGAGGAGACTGTGAATACTAGTGAGATTGCACTTTGTTTTTCATGAGTTTTGGAGACTTTTTTTTGTAACTCATGATCGAGCATTAGCAATAAAGTGTCCCTTAGCAATTCTGTCAAGTAATCTTTATTTACTTCTCTCACAACTTATTAGATTCTCCCATGGGCGCAAAATAGTGGAATTTACACAACACAACACCTTCTAGCCTTAGTTCTAGTAAAGACTTTGCTATATTGAAATGGTTAGAGGATAGTTGCAAACCAAAATGAATCTTAGAGGCTAGGAATAAAGCACTAGCTTTTGTTGGCTAACTGAGTAAGGTTTCCTGAATCATGTTGTGGGGAGATTAGCAATTAGAAATTATATGTGTGCATGGTAAAGGGTCCTTAAATCTTTGTCTAAATCATTGGCACTCTTGCTGACTTTGTGTTCTTGGATGAGCTTGCTACATAGTTGGCCATGTGGCAAAATATCCATTTGTGATGTAGGTTAATAAAGATGAGTTCAACTATTCCCCCTTCTTTGGTATCAAAGGGTAGTAGAAAATACATGTCCTATAGGGAGTGACTAAATAGAAAGATTTTTTATCTTTTCCAGGAATAATAAAAGAATCTCCAAGATTCTTAAGAAGGAATATCTTGTTGAATAGAAGGAGGGAGTTTGACTCTTAGAGGGCTAAAAGATTCTTAGAGGAGACTTGAGTGATATACTTAAGTAGACTGATGAGGAAGAACAGGCCAAGAAGGAAGTGGCAAAAGGATTTTATCCAACTTCCAATAGATTTGTAAGCAATAGTGTCACTAATAGCAGCCACACCAAAAACTTGGTTACCAAGAGGCTTTGAAGAAATGCTAAGGACCTCCCTAGCTTTCCAAGAGCCGCCAAGAAGGCCTCAAACAATCATAGAGTGTGGTTAAGCATTGGATTCTTTGATGAGGAAGAATTTTAAAATCAAGGATTTGTAGTGCACTAAGAGAGCTATCACATGATGATTTCACCTCCTTCCATAGGGATAAAGAGCCTTACAAAAGAAAAAGATGAATTTTAACCAAAATTTAACAAAAGAAGTAGAGGATGAAATAGTTTCACAATAGAAAGTTCCAAGTGGAAGTGGATGAAATTATGAAAATTTGGCTATGAGGACAAAGATCATAGTCCCTACCATCAAGTCATTTAGAAAGTTTAAAAAAAGACAAGACTAAGAGGCAAGACATCCACATTAAGGACCAATCAACTAGCAACTCAAGGGGCTAAGGGGACTTGGGGGATGTCTATAGATCTTTTGATAGAGGAACTTTTGTTTTGGTCGAGGTATAGAAGAACTAAATTGAGTAAATACTTAAGCGTTCACTAGAAGGAAATTTTTTATATCCCAACTGTCTATAACTCTATATTTGGAGCATCTACTCATAAAGGACCACTAATACATCCTCCTAGGATGTTTAGAGGATTAAGAGGTCTTGCTACACCATGTGAATGAGATGCCACTATCTCTAGCAAGTTCAAATTGCCTAGCTTCAAAGGAGATGGCAAACTAAATGAGAATTAAGACTAGTTGGTAAACCCCTTTTACAACAAAATAAGTGAATAGTTAGTTAGCCTACACCACTTTGCTATAGACTTGAAGTTCAATGTCCATTGGATTAACCAGGGTTTGGTAGAATTCTTCAAAGGAAGATTCCTAGGGCATCCAAAAGGATGCAAGATTGGGCTCAACTAGTTTGAGTGAAAGTTTGGAGATTGTTTTCTTAGTTTGGATAGTCAAAAACTCCTATATGAGTTTGCCACGAGGACTCAAAAGGACAATGGAACTATCCGAACTTTTGCAGATGCCCTAAGCTAGCTTGTAATGCAGTTGGGGCAATTTATAATGACTGATTGGTGTCTCAAGGAGTATTTTATGGAGGGATTGAGGACTCTATTGAGGGATCATATGAAGAATATTTTACAAGAGTCATATGCATAGGTAGTAACACAGGTAGTTGAGTTTAAATTCCGAGAATGTTTATATGAGATAGAGATTCCTAGGGTGAGCAAGGCAATAAAATCAGTAAACTAAAAAAAGATTGCAAAAGAAGTTGTTGCAAAGAAGTTATGTGGAGGGAGTATGCATCACAACACGTGCTTTTATCCTAAATATGAGTTGATTTAACATTTGATCCATGGAAGAAGTAAGGAATACCTAGATTAGGGATTTGTAATTTCCTAAAGTGAGGCATTTGAAGTGCCCTTTTATGAAATCAGAGTAGTTTAGAAAAGATTAATAAGGTCATTTTAAGAATTTGGTGGGGATGCCTCAAATGGCCACAAAGGGTGGTAAAGAACAAAAATTCCCTACAAGTGGAAATGGGTGGAATTTATGATTAATAGTGCAAAGTTATAACAAATATGCAAGAAGGAATAGGTGGATATATAGGATGCAATTAACACTACATCCTAAGGGTGGCAAGGATAGCATAATACCTTTGTGCTATCCAAAAAAAAAAATTCCACCTTTCTATTAGGATTTTCTTCAAAAAAAACATAATAGAGAGAAGAAATCAATGTAAGGGCACAAACCTCTAGAAGACATAAGGATACATAGTCTAAAGAGTGGTGGCTTAGTATGTGGTGCTTGATGAAAAAGTTTGTCTGGAAACATGGTGATACCCATGTTAGGAAGAAGTGAAGAATTAAATTGATTTCTTTATAGTATGAGAAAATTAGCAAAAGAAGACCATTCCTTATAAAGGAGAGTAAAGTAGGAGCAAGTGTGAAGAATGATGAGACTAAAAAGTCTCTAAAAAAGGGAATAAAAAAGAAAGAGCGCAAAAAAAGCTTTAAAATTGGGTTATGGGGAGAGTTGGTTGCTAAATAATGAGGTAGCAAAACTAACTCTTAAATGTGTTAAAGACAATTTCTAAGATGAGAAATAAGAGTTACTAAAGGATATTTAGAATTTGTCCTTCTATGTATAAAGACAACAAGGGTTGGGAATATTTCTTTTATAGCTAACCTATGAAAATTTTGTAAGCATACTTAGAGATAGAAGCATTCCATCTTTAGTTGGTGATCTAGGGATATCCTTGCATCTCTCAAATCATAGCAAAATACCTCTTATCTCATAACTAGACTTGAGTCACTATGAGTTGGGTTCCATACACTAAGGCAATAACAAGGAGTTAATAGAGTTAGCCACTACAAAAGCCATGCAGCAGGTCACTAATGTGCAACAACTTCATGATGAGAATCAAGAACTATTAAAGGTTGTGCAATATTTGGTGAAGGCACATAGACAACGAGAGTTAAAATTGAAATAGCAAATTATGGAGTTCAACACCTGGTTAAAAAACACACTAGTAGATGTTCAAAAAAATAATCAAATCCTAGAGGAGAGTTTTGCATTGCAGGAGCTGATGGCATGGCAACTTTGAATAGTTGTGAATGTAGGAAAGCTAATTGAGGCAATTAAGTTAGTTAGATTCCTAAAGAAAGAGTTATAGGAAAAGACTTTACAATAGGAAATGAAGATCTCAAAATAATAGGTATGAATGTTCCTTAGTGTCAAGGATACAAGACTTGCCAACGGGCATAAAGGGAAGTAATAGGAGAAGATGAGTTTAAGCAAGAGCTTGAAGAGTTATCTAGGGAGGAGTTGAACCTAGGAAACAACTTAGAAGACACCACTAGAAAGCCAAAAGGCAAGGTTGAGGACGTTCGGGAGGATGTAAAAGTTTTATTTGAGTTAAGGAAGACAACTAAAAACCTATTGCCAATAGCCAATTGTGAGCTAGAAAGAAAGCTCTCCAAAACATTCTAAAAATAAAGTGCAATCTCATTAGCACTCACAATCTCTTCATTGCTCACTAAAATCATTCTAAGAACACTTTTAAATGTTTTTAAACACTGTTAAATGCTTTTAAAAAGGCCTAACCCTTCCCTATTGTCACCTTCCTTTTTATAGCCGACTTTCTCACAGATTTCCTCCAAATCTTTGCTGTCCTCTAGTATAAATTCTCCTCCCATGACTCTTAGGGAATATTCACACATTATGCCACACCTTAGATACCATGTTGATCAAACATGAATTTAACTATTTCCAATGTTTGGATAACATAATCTACTACCCTGCCACTACCTAGGATGCAATTGCATTTTACTTCTTTAGGTTCTACCCAAGCTTATACTTTTTTAAGTTGTAGAACCCATATTCATCCTCTATGGGAGCAAGTGAATCTTATCTTTGCCAGATCTTTGGGGCTCCATTATAATCCTAGCAATCCTTAAAAACAATTAGACTTACCTTTTGAAATCTTTTCCACCATCTCTCCTTGAGCTGAGGTAAAAAGATTTCCATACTTGTTTCTTTGTGGGAATCTCTAGGCCCATCCAAGATTTCTTCTATTCTAGCATCTTGTTAATTTCCTTTACCCTTGTTTTTGCCACTTACTCAAAGATAATGCAGTGGAATTTACACGGCACAATGCCTCCTAGCCTTGGTTCTGGTAGAGACCCTACTAGATTAAAGTTGCCGAAGGATAGCTACAAACTTAAATGAATCTTGGGAGCTAGGAATAGGGCACCACATTTTGCTGGCTGGAA